ATATTATAACTTATTGCGAGACATTCACTATTTAGTTGTAAATTATTTTGCTGCCTCGTAGTGATTAAAAATAAAGACCACTTTTACGTAGAAAATTCACTGAAATTTATCCTGAACTTAATTTTATAGGTCAAGAAAGATTATTTGATCAAATACGAGTGATACATCGAAATAACAGGATACCATTGTCTGAAAGGGAAATCATAAAACAAGAATTTAGAAGCTTTATTCAACATCAGTACGATGAAGATATCGTAGAACGCAATATTTCAGCAGAGGATAACCCAGCACTTGCACAGCTACCCATAAGCAACACACAAAATTTGAAAGACAGTAGGTACACCTGAAGAAAATAATGATTTCATAAACACGGAAAATGAACAAGAATACGATATATTGAAAAGTGTTTTCCCAGAAAATTTTATCAAATATGAAGGCATGTATCCAACAATTAGGCCAATGATTCCTAAATTACAAGGGAACGGGAATAAAATTCTGACAACTGTAAATATATTAAACTTACTAATACAAAGTATGTCACAGAATATATCAGAACCCACTCTAGAAAATATTGTTGACATGGTCTATGCCGGGGCATTAACAATCTATTTAATCTATTTAATCTAATGTGAATCACCCAGGTGAGATAACGAAAAGCTATTGGACGCAGTCGACTTCCCTNATAACCCAGCACTTGCACAGCTACCCATAAGCAACACACAAAATTTGAAAGACAGTAGGTACACCTGAAGAAAATAATGATTTCATAAACACGGAAAATGAACAAGAATACGATATATTGAAAAGTGTTTTCCCAGAAAATTTTATCAAATATGAAGGCATGTATCCAACAATTAGGCCAATGATTCCTAAATTACAAGGGAACGGGAATAAAATTCTGACAACTGTAAATATATTAAACTTACTAATACAAAGTATGTCACAGAATATATCAGAACCCACTCTAGAAAATATTGTTGACATGGTCTATGCCGGGGCATTAACAATCTATTTAATCTATTTAATCTAATGTGAATCACCCAGGTGAGATAACGAAAAGCTATTGGACGCAGTCGACTTCCCTTAACGCGGACCACGGTATTTTCAAGTGAATGTGGGAGAGTCCAGATGAAATCAGAAACAAACTCCTAGTAGTACTTCCGAAGAAAAGAATTTAATTTCAGAAATGTCAGAAGCAATCCATGACGGACAACATTTCGGCTTTACGAAGACTCTAGGGAGGGTACGCTAGCAATTTTATTAGTTACGAGGCAGAAGCAATGTGGAAGACTGGTGCAGGAAATGTCCGACATGCGCCGCCAGTAAAGGACCGAAGAGGAGCTCCATTTGATAGAATCGCAGTAGATGTAGCAGGACCATTCCTAGTAAGAGACTTCTGTGTCATTTCCACTTGTCCTGCTTTCATTTCTACCATCATTGCCATTAAAACTTTTACTTGTTCCTCCATTTTTGCTTCGGTACCTCCGTTTGTAACAGATTTTTTCTTCTAGAAAACTCTATGAAATGCTTCGATTCTGTCAAAATCATTCTTCTCTTCCTTCTCTAATTAACTACTTACTGACAATATCACCAAATCACGCAGTTGTCAATAACGACGGTGAATAATAAAACTATTGTGCAAGCAAGTTGTCTATTGTTTTAATATAACGAACAATCTCTGTCAGATATGCTGAGGTACAGCAAAAATTGTAAATGTCAGCAAAACATGACATTATAAATATCTGTAGCGAGAATTTTTAGTCACTTAGACAAATGTATTGGTCTTTAAGACATCTCAGTTTTTAAGTTATCTTGTATCTTGTAATTTTGTTAAAATAAAGTTTTTTGTTTTTTTAGAAACGGATTTTAACTTTAATAAAATAACCTACGTTTACTGGCATTACTTTTAGTAGAACCTAGGTTAAACATGGCCGCTGTATACGCGCATCAATCACGGCGATGACCACCTATGGCCAGACTCTTATTATTAAGTGACTTTAGAATTAACGATAAGATTAATTTCCTGTATACGTAATGTTGGTTGTCTACCATGTTGGTTTACATTCACTTATGCTCATTGCTCAGTCTATGTATGTATGTATGTATGTAGTAATATCTCTACTAGGTAAAAAGTACTAGTTTACTATTATCGGCAATCCTCATTCGGTGTTAAACAGTTTTAGCCATAAAAGAGGCGTAACTCAGAGTACGCTTCTTAATATCATATAAACTTACAGAATAAGTGATAACCTTTTCTGAAAAATATTAGTTATATAAGTTACTTGCAAAGTGGCTTGGGGACGGAACATACCACGTAGGACTATATATTATGAATACCGATTTAAATTGTAAAATTGAATTAATTAATCCATTCACGTTAAAATTATCATCATCAAAGGGTCGTCAGTCCTAAGACTGCTTGGGCACGTACTTCCACTCTTTCCTATCATGAGCTAAACTTCGCATTTCCCTAAAACTAGAACAACCCACATCCTTAACTATTTATGAACAGTAATCTAACCTAGGTCTACCTCTACCCCTCCCGCCTCTAATATGTCTCTGACTAGACCTTCATGCCTGAGAAGGTGTCCTACCAACCTATCTCGCCTATTTTTTATTGACTTCCATAGAGTCCACTGTTCTCCTATTCTTTCTAATACCTCTTCATTTCTAACAATTTCTACCCACGCTATCCTCATCATTCGCCTATAACACCACATTTCGGAGGCTTCTAACCTTTTCTTTTCCGCCGCTCCCACTGTCCATGTTTCGCACCCTTACAACGCTTCGCTCCAAACATACACCTTTAACAACCTTTCCTTTTTCTATCGTTTCGTCTATTGTTACCCATAAACCTAGAACGGCCTCCCGTGTTCCTCTATTCCTTCTAAACCCAAATTGATCTTCCCCTAATAGTTCTTCCGTCCTTTTTTCCATCCTCCTTTGTACAATTCTAGTTAAGATTTTTGACGTGTGGGAAGTTAAGCTGATTGTTCTAAATGTATCGCACCTATCCGCGCCCGTCTTTTTAGGTAATGTTACTACTACGTTCCGTTTACAATCCTCTGGGTCTTTCCCCGTCTCGTAAATGTGACTAACTAGCTTAAATATATGATCTCTAACCTCTTGTCCTGCATGTTTTAGAATTTCCCCCTGTATCCCATCTACGTACACCTGGCGCCTTATTGTTCTTTAAGTTTTTTAATGCTACATTGAACTCTTCTCTCATTATGGGATAACCAAACTCATCTGTCTCCACACTATCTTCCTTCTCTAATATATCTCCTAACTCAGGGCCTGCATAAAGGTTCTCTAAATATTCTTTCCACCTATCTGCCTTTTCCTCGTTTCGTATCAAAATGACCCCTGCCTGCTGCCTCGTTTCTTATATAATTACTACTGTATCCTACCTCTCTAAAATTCCTTTTAATTATATGATACGCCTCATCGGTTTTACCTAGTTCAAACTTTTCTTCTACTTCTTTACACATCCTTTCAATCCACTTTTCCTTAGCTGCCCTACACTTTCTAATTATTTCCCACTTTATAGCTTTATATCTTTTTTGACCTTCGTCCGTTCTTTTTTTGTATTTCCGCCTTTCGTCTACTAATCCTATAATCTCATTTGTTATCCAGGGTTTCCTACTTTCGTTTTGTTTAAGACCTGATATATTTGTAGCTGCTGACTTTAGGCACGTTTTAATGGAGTTTCATTCTGTCTCTATGTCCCCTTTATTTGTTTCTCCCGCCGCCATTAGTATTTCGTCTGTCCTTTTACCTAGCCTATCACGCGTTTCGTTACATTTTAGCTTTTCCAAGTCGTGACGTCTCCTGCCTTCCCTCTTTTTCAGAATTTTCACTTTAAGATTAGTCTTCATAACTACTAAGTTATGATCGCTATCTATATCTGCTCCTGGACAACTCCTACAGTCCTTCACTTGATTTTTAAATCTTTGCCTAACAAGTATGTAATCTAATTGATATCTCCCTAAATCACATGGCATCTTCCACGTATAGCGCCTCCTAACGTGATGGTTGAATAAAGTATTCGCGACGGTTAACTTATGTTTATCGCAAAATTCTATCAGCCTATCTTCCCTATCATTTCTATTGCCTAATACAAAAGAACCTGCTATGGTACCCACTTTGCCTTCACCTATTACTGCGTTGAAATTTCCTAGAACTATTAAGTTTTCCTGTCCTTTCACTAAACTTAACACGTCTTCTATATCTGCATAAACGTCTACGTCTTCAACACTGTAAGATGATGTAGGCATGGAGACCTGCACTAATACCGTTCTTACCGGCTTTGAGTTTAATGTAACCATAACTATCCTATCGCTTTTTTGTTAATAACTTTCTACACTCTGCCCTACTTTCCTACGCATTACAATTCCTACCCCCGAATTACCTTCTACCGATCCTGTATTTATTACTCCAGAAGTTTTCAGCTTTGGGCCAACGGACTTCACTAATACCTACTATATCTAATTCTAATCTATCCATCTCTACTTTGAAATTGTCTAATTTTCCTACTTGCCTCATTGTTCTAACATTCTACGCTCCGACTCGTGAAATATTGCACCTATCCCTATTGCACTTATTGATGACATCCCCCGAGGTAGTCCCCGCCCGGACATCCGAATGGGGGACTAGTTTACGTCCGGAGTGCTTTACCCCAGAGGACGCCATCATTTAATTTTTGCGTATGTTGTACTCGGGATTATAATGTGGTGGCTTCCCGTTGCCTTCCACATCGCAGTATTGTGATCTCTGCCATCATGAGTACTGAAAAAGCTGCTGCCCTCTTTCAGGGACTTGTCTTAGTCTGGTTTCTCTTTAAGAACCCCTCCATTATGGTTGAACCTATGGTCCGGCTCCCTAGATCATCGAAACTCGCAAGACGATTCACCCACTCTAGCTTGTACAAGAGATTCGTCAAGGTTCAAGTCCCGTCGGATCGGAAAATTATCAGTAAATTATTTAAAAGAAAATCTTACCGGAACAATTCTAGCAAATTCTGAAGGATCATCGATTTCCGAACAACTTTCGTCTTCGTCATCTGAGCCACTTGAAGCTCTTTGTAGAAAAAGCTTAACTTTTCTCATACTTTTTAAAGACGATAAGCTAGACGTTCTGACAGGTTTATTTGAAAAGCTAGTAAAAATATCTTCAGGAACTGGAGGTAAATTTACAACGTTGTTTAAATCTATCAGAGATTCTCGGGATAGATTTTCTGGATATTTTTCATCAATATCTGATTTCACACTTCTTGCACTACCGCATGGAGGCAAAAGAGTATTGTCTGAAATAAATGAGTTGAGCAGTTATACCTTATACCAAAAAACGCAGTATAATAAAATATAATTAATCTGAAGTCATTTAAAATGTCAAACTTTAGAATAATTTCATTAATAAATTTATTGAAATATTTAACTGGAAATTAATTAATTGCTGTTATTTATTGTTGACAGTTTTGAATAATTTGTAGATATCTTTCTTTTAGTATATATGACCATTTATAATTTTAAATAGATTTTCCGTAAGAAGTGATTTACAAAGAATTGAAGTTATTACTAGACGCAATCCACGGAGTTCTTATGTAATGAGTAGGATGAGTGTTTAATATTCGATTACCTGCAAGCTTCTGTTTCGTTTCTAAGTATTTTATTTTTTCGGAAAGTTTCGTTATACTTTGAGATTTGAAATTGCTTGGAATAGTAGTATCAGTAGCCTCTATATCCTCTAGATCAGCAAGTTCTTTTTCAACAACTGATAAAAGCTTTTCATATTCTAATTTAATTGTTGAACAAACCTGAAAACGATGTTTCATTTACTAACTTAATTTAATTTGAATTTCAAAACATGTTTTGTTTTTTTTTTCATTTTTACAGTGGGTATCTATTCTTCTCTTATACAGAATTTTGGAATAGCTTAGGAGGATGCCCATCAAAAAAAAATTAATAACATTTGTGGTTTATTTATTACTTAGGTACCATGTATATATATATACTAAAAACATTGTTGATTATCATACATATTTAAAAAACAAATATAAATTTATTTTTTTTTATATCTATCTTTCACTTGACTGCATTTTTTAAACAACTTTTCGTTGCCCAAATTTCAGAATAATTGCGTACATGTCATATGTATATTAAGTCTAATTTTATTGTCATCGCGGAAAGAATTAAATTAAGGCAGATTTCAACTATTTCTTTCAAATTGTCACGTGGAATACAATTTTCTCCGAAACAATTATCTAAATATTTTTAGCAATATACATTTTCATATATTTATGCATTTTACATGTAACTGTAAGGATGAACTATGATATTTGTTAGAAATCACTTATTCTCGAGTAGCAAACATGCACGTATTTAAATTGGCAAGGATAACCTATCGAACTGTTTTTGTTTTTTGACTCGTTCGAGGAGGTCAGTCTTTGTAAAGCCGTTGAGCTGATATTACAAAGAGAAAAAAGGTATCTTTAATTATCTCACGGTATACCTATTGCACACCTGCTATTACAAAGGTATTACATGCATCATCAAAATCATCGCCGTGGCGCATTTTGCTGTGCAAGCAACTAGGATATAAAAAACCATTTTTTCACACAGTGAAGGTTCAATCTTGTTTGTAATTTCTTGTAGTCTAGATAAGTTTTTTTTTGTAATTAATATTAATAAATTTTTAAAAAGTCGATTTTGTCCGTCGAAAAGATAATTGGCGCAGTCAGTAGGATTGCCGAAATTGTGTTGTGTCAAAAATACAAGAACAATTTTCGTTTTTACGATTAATCGGCAACGGAACATCGGTAATCCAAGTGTCGGAGATCGGTTTCGGAGTGGTTACTTAAAAATCAAGAAACCCAGTCAATTGCAGACCTGAAACAATCCTTCTACACGAGAAAGAGAAGAATATCGTCTTTTTCTGCGAGGACCAAAATTGGGAAATATTTGGACCACATAGCCAGACCAATTTGCTGAGCCNGTCGAAAAGTTAATTCTTTGGTTTGTGTTATAATAAACTTATCTTTCCTCTCTAAAATATATCGCGTTTTGTTATTATAAATCCTGCATAACTATTAACAAGTTATGGGCCCAGGATTATCCGTTATTCAAGACTTATAATAAATAGTATTTCGCGTGGATTTTTGGTGGCCACTTGCTGTGTGCGCGTGTTATCCGTTATTGAGAGTGAAAAGACTTTCTGCGATTTTCAAGATGACAACTAGTGCAACGTCGTCAGCATTGCGAATTGAATTATTGTCGAAAGATAATTATGGCACGTGGATAAGTCAAATGGAAGCATGACTGAAGCGAAAAAGCTTATGGAAGTACATCGACGGGACGATAGCAGAGCCGGATCGTGGCTCATCGGCAGTATCACTGGAAGTACTCATTCAACGGACGGAAAAAGGCGATCAGGCAAGAACAGAGCTGATTTGTCCATTCAACCGTACTTATTGAAGGACATAAGACACTGTACTTCATCCAGAGAGATTTGGAATAAATTGCGATCGATATACGTGTTAACTGCACTTGCAAAAAGAGCCGTATTGCTGAGACAATTAGCACGAAAAATGGGCGAAGATAGTGACGTCAGAGATTACTTGACTGATTTCTTTGAGATCACTGATAAACTTGCAAACATGAAGGAGGTTATAAGTAACAATTTGTTGACTGTAATGTTATTAAATAGTCTCCTATCCTCGTATCAAGGATTTCGTACAGCGATAGAGACGCGAGATATTTTACCGTCTCTGGAAGAGGTGAAAGTAAAAATCTTAGACTCCACGCGGGAAGAAATCGGAAATGATGAGAAGGGTGTTTTGAAATGTTTCAAGTGCGGAGTAAAGGGGGCACAAAGCAAATGAATGTCCGAATAAAAGTCAACTGAAATCTCGAGAGAAAACCAAATGTTCGGTTAATAAAGTTGATGGGGTCTTCGTGGTGAATTACACTGTATTTAATTCGAGTTGTATGTACGAGGCGAAAACAACAACGGAGAGTAAGCCATGGATTTTGGACAGTGGTTGTACCTCGTATCTGTGTAGTATTATGCGTTGTTCGAGAAAATTGATAAGACACCAAAAGTATAATTGAATCACGCCAGTGATGCGACTGCTGAAGTTAAAGGCAAAGGTGATGTGCGTGTTTCAGTGGGATGTGACGATGGTCATAACCTGTATGTGTTTCGCAATACCTTGTAGGTGCCTGACTTGCGGACAAATCTGATGTCAGTCGCGAAAGTAACTGATAAAGATTGCGAAGTAATTTTTGAAATGGATCACGGAACTATTATTAATTGTCAAAGTGATGTGATAATGACAGCAGGTCGTAAAGGCGATCTTTATTATGTACGTGAAAGTGTCGAGTGTGTTGAGGTCACAGCAGGCAAACTAGTAGACGATAAGTTACGCTTATGGCACGAGAGTCTTGGTCATTTGAATAGTAAAGACCTGTGAAACTCGTGAATGATAAAATTTTACCGAAGATAGACATTAGCAACGCGGATCAACTATCTCAGTGTGAAGTGTGTCTGAAAAGAAAAATGACCGCTTTGCCTTTCAAAAGTAAACATGAAAGCAAATCGAGCTCTCTCAGTCGGGATATATTGCTGGTTTACTTAAGCAGTGTAACATGAGCAATTGTAATCCCGTGGCAACACCTTCAGAGGTGAATGTGCGATTTGAAAGTATGAGTGAGAGTGAATCACACGAAAAATATTCGTATTGCGAATTAATTGGTGCGTTGATGTATTTATCTCTGGCAACGCGACCAGATATTTCAAATACAATATTCAAATTAGCACAGTTTATTAAAAAACCGAGTAAATGTCATTGGATGGCTGCAAATTCAATCATATTTACCTGCGGAGCTCATTTCTCCACTGATTATCGAGCGAGAACTAGACCAAAGTGTACAGTACCATTTGTAAAATTTGAACTGCCATGGAAAACAATGGAAAACGAAAACAAGCGTTAAGTATTCAATGTAAAGAACTCGTTGCAAATATACTACAATTTATGAACGCTGAAAAAGAAAAGAGGTTTTATTCTTCCACTTGAAAAAGTACGAGAACGTGTAGCGGCAGCAACTGGACTAAGTTTACCAGCTATAAGGAGGGTTGCTTCGGAGAAGAAAAAAGTAGAGGAAGGTGAGGCCAGATGTTTTATGAAACCCAAATATAATAAGAGGCACCTACGTCCTAAAACTGACTTCGACAAGTTTGACCAAGATGTTATAAGAAGCACGGTGAATAATTTTTATGTTACTGAAAAGATGATCCCAATACTAAAAAATATTCACCAGAAATATCAACACGACACGGGGTATTGGTAATACCGTATTGCGGTTCGAAAGTTAGTATCTGGCGAGTACTGCGAAAAATTGGTTTCCGCTGGAAAAAACCCAAACTAATAGGAAACTGGAGACCAATTATTTATATGGATGAAACATATATACATTCGAATTGTGCTTCAAAAAAATCATGGACCGATGATACTTCAGAAGGCCTTCTGCAACCACTAGCAAAAGGGAATCGATTAATTATTATTCATGCTGGTGGCAAGATGGGCTTTATAGAAAACGCCGGTGACATGAACTACATCAACTACTGGAAGTGGGTTCAAGAAAAACTTCTTCCTAATTTACCTACAAATTCAGTTGTAGTTATTGACAATGCCCCACACCACAACGTTCAAAGAGAAAAATGTGCTAATTCGAACTCGATAGAAATAATACAAGAAGCTGGTCATGATGTTTGTCGATTACCGCCGTATCAGCCGGAATTAAACACAACTGAATGTATTTGGGTAGCTCTAAAACATTTTGTTACCGAACGCAATGTGTCTTTTAACTTGGGTGACGTAAAAAAAACTTTGTGAAGAATTTTTCTCAAGTTTTTCTATCGAAAAATGGGAAAGTGTGTGCAACAAAGTTATTAACTAAAAAGATGCATACAAATGAGAAGATCTAGCGGACGAAAGGGTCATTGAAGACTTGGTTATTGAAGTAGGAGTCGACGATGAATTTTCTGACTCAAACGATGAAGACTTTGAAGATGAAGATTAGGGAAATATACTGAATATTTAGCGCTTGTTTATTAAAACGGCTCTTTTCAGGGCCAACAATTCCATTTCGAAATCAAAACGACATCGAACTAGAAACTTTGCATAATTACTTTATATTATGCTTACTAAATTAAATTTGAAACGTTCGAATAGACAGTAAACGCTAATAAGAAAACAGTAGATTATTAAGAAGTAATTAAAATATTTTCTGTATGTATAATATACGTACTGACAAGGTTTAAAGCTTTTACAAAGAGCAACGATTATTTAAACTGCCTCGTTAAAATTTAAGAATATGCTTTATTTAAAAGCATATTTAGCCAAAAATAAAAGTTAATTAACTTAACACTCTACACACCTATAATACTTTCGCTTTGTTTTCTATTGTTAATTTATATACATTTTTGTTTTAACAAATTGCTAATCATTTTCGTCTAGTACAGTTCTAGCCGATCTCCTAAGACCGCCCGTCGAGAACTCTGCTTGTTCAAGCTTGTTCCAACTATTTCTGTCTTGCTCACGCCTAGTGTGTATTCTTTATATCTTCGCGCAAATTTCTTCAAGGTCACATCTCTAACTATTTGAAATGAATTGTACTCCGGCTAAGTATTTTTGCTGAGCAGCGCTGCAATAACTTCGAAATCGCAGAAGCAGCGTATATGTTGCGTTGTCGTCGACCGAAGCAGAGTAAGTGAGTTTAGCGGGAACTACCATAGCAGCATTGTATTTACGTAGCT